CCCCCACACCCACTGGGGTGGTCTCAGAGTTGGGGGATGTCCCACCCCACAACGAGACAAAATTCCCAACCTGGGAAAGGCCTGAGGGGGAGGTGGAAAAAAACAGAGAGAGAGAGAGAGAGCAAAAAAAAAAAAAAAAAAAGTAATTTTATTAAAGCCAGACACTCTGATAGAAAAAGAAAAGTAATAAAGGGAAAAGGAAAATAAAAAGCAACCCTTTGTCGTGGGATTTGCAATTACAATGGTTCACGTTGTGCACAGAACTACCCATGGCATCCACAGCGACACGGGGGGGGGCACGGGGGGTGGCACAGGGGAGAGGGGGCACAGGGGGGGCCCATACCCCCCACCCCCCCCCCCCCACCCCCCCCCTCCACCCCGTGCAAGGCCTTTTTTTCCTTTTTTTTTTCTTTTTTTTAAATCGTTTTTATTCCTTTTTCCATCCTCTTTTTTTTTTTTTGCCTCTATTTTTTTTCTTTTAAAACAGTTCACGAGAAGAAAATTTCATGCGAAGAGAGAGAGAGAGAGAGAGAGAGAGAGACACACGACGTCGTAGAAACCCCAAAACAGCCTCTAAAGAGAATCAGGAACTCGTGTTTTTTTTTCTTTTTCTTATATATATATATTATTTTTTTTTGCCCTTTTCAGAGTCGTAGCCTTTTTTAAACAACATCCAGACGAGTAAAGCAGGGGTGCTCATGCAGCGGGCGCCTCCGACACATGCAGGCAGCGCTTGGGTCTTTTTGCTTTTTTTTTTAAACATTTTCCTCTTTTTTTGGTCTTTTTTTTCCTGGTTTTGAACCAGAATTGCTTTATTTGTTTGGGTATTTTTTTTGTTTGTTTTTGTTCTCTTGCTTCAGCTCGGTGCTCGAGGGAGGGGTTGTTTGTTTGTTGGGTTTTGGTTTTTTTTTGCATGATGCCATGAAAGGACGGACGCACACGCTCACGGAGGAACCAGCCTGATGGGTGGGAGAGGGGGGGAGGGAAAAGGGGAGGCTGGGGGGGCTGGATTTGGGGGGATTTGGGGTGAACCCCCTCACCCAACACTGTGCACCCCCTTGTTCGGCGTAGGGCACCCCAAAAACCCAGAGCTGGGCACCCCAAAAACCCAGAGCTGGGCACCCCAACACCCTCCTGCTCTGCAGGGAGTGTGCTGGGAGGGGGCTCCTGGGGCAAAGTGGGGACCCCCACACACTGTGTGACAGGGTGGTCCCAGCGGGATGGGTGTCCTGGACACCCATGGGATGGGGTTTGCACTAATACCTGACACCTTTATGGGTGTTTTAGATACCCATAAGTGATGCTGGGATGGGGTTGCATTAATACAGCCCCCTGAGACCTTTGTGGGTGTCCTGGACACCCATGGGATGGGGTTGCACTAATACAGACCCCCCAACACCTTTATGGGTGTCCTGGACACCCATGGGATGGGGTTGCACTAATACAGCCCCTCCTGACACCTTTATGGGCGTCCTGGACACCCACAAATGATGCTGGGATGGGGTTTGCACAAAGTCCAGCCCTCCCTGACACCTTTATGAGTGTCCTGGACACCCATGGGATGGGATTTGCACAAAGTCCAGCCCCCCCAACACGTTTATGGGTGTCCTGGACACCCATGGGATGGGGTTTGCACAAAGTCCAGCCCCCCCTGACACCTTTATGGCTGTCCCTGGGGGGGTGGGGGTGGCACTTGTCACCCTCACCCCTCCCCGAGGTGAAGGGGGGGTTGTTTGTGCATCTGGGAAGCACCAGGATGGGTGTGGGGGCTGCAAAGCTTGGGGGGAAGGAGGGGAACAGGGCTGGAGGAGCAGGGGGGGGCGACCCCCCCCCCCATCCTGGCCTAAGAAGCTGCGGCTTTTGCTACAATGATTCACTTTGGTACCAAGAAAAAGAATTAAAAAGGAAATTAAAAGCATCAAGTGACTGCTATTGCTGCCGGGAAGGGAGGGGGGGTCTGTCCCATCCCCAGGGCCACCCAGCCCCGAGGATCTGAGGGGTGGGGACGGGGATGGGACAAGGAAAGTGCTGGAAGGAGGATGGGAACTCAGCACGAGGGCGAAGAAGCCGCTCAGAACCGGCCCTCTCAGAAACCACAAGGAGCTCTAAGTCTAAACCAAGGGATAAAATCCACCCCCTAATATACCAGACGTGATTTATTTTCTTCTCTTTTCTCTTTAAATATTTATATATATATTTATATTACGTATATTATATATATATAATATGTAAATATATTTTTAAAACAATATAAAATGTTAAGACACTTCACTTAAATGTAAAGAGTTGCTTTTTGCAATCCAAAGAAATTGCATCATGATTTTTTTTTTCCTTTTTTTTTTTTTCTTTTTTGTCTTTTTGGTTTTTTTTGTTTTCTCTTTGTTATTCAAAAAAGGCTTCGTTCTTCTGTACAAAAATGATCGAGATACAAAAAAAAGAGGGGAGGGGGGAGGAAAAGAAGAAAAAGAATTAAAATTAAAAAAGAAAAAAAGAATTAACCAACCCAAGGACGACTTTAGCCAACGAAAAGGAGTGATTCCATCTCGTGGTGCACTGGGCACACACGGAGAGCACACGCACACACACACACCTGGGCACACCTGGGCACAGCTGGGCACAGCTGGGCACACCTGGAGCATAGCTGGGCACAGTTGAGCACACCTGGGCACTCCTGGAGCACAGCTGGGCACAGCTGGGCACTCTGGTTGCACACCAGGGCACACCTGGACACACCTGGAGCACACCTGGGCACTCCTGGGCACACCTGGAGCACAGCTGGGCACAGTTGGGCACTCCTGGTGCACACCTGGGCACACCTGGACACACCTGGCAT